AAGAACAGCAACACCATGGAGTGTTTTTCAACGTCAAAATCAAGTATAAGACCACCTACACTATTTAAAAAAATAAATACAAAAAAGGTTATAGCGAATTCTATGTATTATTATTATTATTTACCTTGAAATAAGCATTGCAGCAACAACGGATGACTTTTAAATATTGTGTTATTTTTTATACTAGAATAATTTTTTTCTACAAATCATTTAAAAACCATTCATGTGTAAGTACATCTTTAACATATTCATTTCCAAAAGAAATAATAATCCAAATCGGTGTTATAATTAAAAAAATAATAGTAATCATTACAGATAACCATGTATAATTATCTAAAGTAATGTATGAGTTATTATATAAATTTTGAATTTTACACATATTCTTACCTATAATTTGAAATAAAAATTCACCGATACTAGCTAAAATACCAAGTGTTGTTAAATCATCGAGTGAAGCAGCAATTATTATTATGTTTATGTGAAATGACAATAACAAATAACATGATTCTACCTTAAGAAAAAAACAAATAATTGTATGATATAGAGAGAACTCACAAAGATAATGAAAAAACAGCTATAAAATATTAAAATATTTTTTTGAACACATTTATTTATCATTTCATTACTAAATATCAACAAGAATTACGTGTTGACATAGATCGTATTTTCTTTTATATTCTTTAAAGTGTATTGATGATACTATCTCTATTATCTTTTAGAAAAAATTGTTTATTTGATCCTATGCACAACAAAATGTGAAATATTAATAAATAAAACAAGTGTATATCGTAAGTTAAAATGTCCTCGAGATACCCATTTCATAGTAAGTGATACAAGAGCAGCAAGAAAACCAACAACAATAGCTTGTAATCGTGTTAAAATTATATTTCTAATAATCATACTTCGAAGTTCTGAATTTTTATCCATATCTCCAATATTAGCCTAAAATTATAGAAGCCTATATTGAATATTTTTGAAATAAATTTTAATTGCATACTTGTGTAGATAAACGTGATTCTAATGTCATTTCTAGATTTCCTTTTAAGTCAAGTAAAGCTGAGACAAGTACGTATAAATTTCAGTTATTTCTTTAAATACATTTAATTCCTAAATAGAAATATAATGAAATTACAACATATTTTGCAATATAACAAAATCGATAATTTTCTTTTTTCTTAAACATATCTACAAGTTGAATATATACAGTACATAAAAACAATATCTAATTTGAGTTTAATCAAAAGGTTAATATTATTCATTGATGATCAGACATAGACGAGTTCCTTAATTTCTATTATTTTAAAAAATACTATCGAATTCTGAAATAATTAAAATCCTGTTAGAAACACTATAAAAAA